TCAGAAAATATTACATTATGTTCTTAAACTTAAAAAATCAAATCAAAATTTAACTAAACAATGTTGTCTAAATAAAAAGTCAAAATTGTCTAGCTGTCTAAATTAGGGAAATAATAGTGCTTTATTACATACTCGAATTTCTTTTAGTAGTTTCAGAAAATTATGAACACCCCCTTGAAATTATTCTGCGTACGCCACTGCTGGATAGAATATTTTTAATCAAACTAAGAACAACTATGAACTCTGAAAGTGGGCATAGAAAACTATCAGAATATATGATCGAGAAACAAAGGAAAAAATTAGAAATTTCAAATATGTAAAGTGATGAAAATTACTCGAGCCTCTGAAATTTATTTCAGAAGAAAATGTTTTTCAGAACATTTAGGTGATTAGTTTTTGTAATTATTTTTAATAAATGGGCTGAAATCTGATAACAAGAAATAATTGATGAATGGCAAAGCATTTGAATGTGAATTGACTCCATTAAATTGTGTTACTATTATAAACCAGGCATACATTATTTTCTATTCAATTAATTTAGAAAAATATTTTACATGTACAGTTTTAAGAATTTTAATTACCTTTTACAGAAAATCAATTGAAAAAAGTCTTGCTTTAAGTTTTACATTTAAAACTTCAATAAATATTTTTTGTACATGATAATAAAGTTTAAAACTTACTTCTGCAATACTTTTGGTCTGGTGTTCAGCGACAGCTCTTATTCTGTTTACCCAAAATTGTCTTTCCTTTGCATCATTCGCTAGAAATATTTAAAAATTACACGGTTCATTAAGGGAAAAAAAACCTAAAATTCTATAGATGTAATAAAACAGTAAAATATACCTTTTAATTTATAAACTTCTCCACAAGCAGCATTTATAGAAAAAGATTGGCCATCTTCATCACTAGGTGAAACTACTGCCCCCTGAAAATGACACAGTTAAAAGTAATTTGGAAAAATCAGTGAGCTGCTCTCCAAAAAAGTTTTATTCTTTGACAGAGATCTAGAAACTTTTAAAAATCCATTGAAATAAAAATTGAAAATTCTAATTGATTTTATATATTCCTTAACATTCATTGAGAGATAATTTTTAAACTTTCTTTTTAAGGGCTAAACAACGTATATGTAGGAATTAAGGAGTAATACTTTCAAAAATAAAATTAATATTCAACACTGTGTCCTAAAACGATGGAGAAAATGAAGAAATGAAAGTTTTATGCATTGATTTCATATATGTAAATAAATAAGTTCAAAATGTAGAGAAAACATGGAAAAATTACAGAACAATGAAAAAAGGGAAAAAGAAAAAAAAATCTGGAAAATAAAGGATATAACCAAAGCTCACTTACAAAATGCTACTTACATGATAGGGTAAGCCAACCAGTGAAGGAACATTTCATATATATTGATTAAAAATAAGAATTTGGAAGTTTTTCTTTAGATTGATTGGTAACAATACCTTACTGCCAAACAATAGGAAGTCATCTAGCAATGTTTTGGATTACCTGGTCTTCTCTGGAAAAATTTTTGAATTTGTTATTATCTCTGCAACACCTTGTTTCTTTGAAAAAATTATAAGGTGAGTGTTTGTATTTATATGTTTGAAGTGGAATTAATTGCATGCATTGAAGTTAGGTTTTATTCTTTTTAAGTATCATAGCATAATAAAGTACTGAGATAAGGAGGTGTTTATTCATTGGATCAACAAACGCTGAAAAACCAGTGAAGGAACAAGTGTTCCTTTACTGGTTTTTTTTTCTAAGTTAATGAAAATAAAAGATAAACTTTAATTTTCTTGTAACTTTAGTGATGTTCCGCATCAAAAGTATGTTAAAAATACGAAAAACAACTTCTAACCAGTGAGGGAACAGGCATGTTCCTTTACTGGGCATAGATTTCCCAGTGAATGAACAGTATGTGTTAATATGTTGACACTTTAATTTTCAATTCATGATTACAAAAAAAAGTTAACATTTTCCAAGTATTTATATGTTATAATTTCAAGAATAGGCTTGTTTTTAAATATTTGTATGGCTTATAAATTCATAAAGAGCATTAAAAAATAACCAAAATTAAGTGTTCCTTTACTGGGTGTTCATTCACTGGTAAGAGCTGTTCCTTCACTTGGTCTTCTTACTACTTGTTATTTGAACCTCCAAAACTTTAAAACAATATTATGTAAGTTCTCTACAATTTTTTTACATAATTTGCAATTAGTAACAAATATGCTGACACTGTCATTTAACTAAAATAACGAATTTTGAAATTAATATGATTTTTAAAAGGCAAACGAAGCTTAAGTGCTCCTTCACTGGTTAGTTTACCCTATATGAGTTTTTGTTATTTTTTAAATTTTAACATCACATAAAATTGATGATGTAGTTATGTCATGAATAAAGTATTGACAAAATGTTAGACAGTTCAGTCACATGCTATTCAAGGAAAAATATAAAAACACTTTTAACTGATACTAGAATGTATGATTCTTAAACTAAGGCTAGACATTCTAACATGGTAAGAAAGGAATAAAAAACAAAATAATTTGACAAAATAAATCAAGTCTAGTAAAAAAAAAACTTTAAATTAAAACGAATAATTTTATAAAAATTCATTATTTTAAGACCTTAAAATTAAATTAATAAACACTTTTCAAACAGCTGATCATTAAAAGAAAAATTTTGAGGAAAATTTTTGGCCCTGTGAATAAAAATAACATATTGTGAATACTTTACAACCATGAGCTCTACAACAAATCTAAAGTGCCCAACATCGTCCAAATCATTAAAGCATATTGCACAAAATGGCTTTGTCACTTCTAAGATTAGAAGCCCTCAAGTCTGCAAGGAAACTGACTTTTGGCAAACCCTCTGGCTCTAAGAAAAGAAGCTACCCAACCACCAGGTGGCTGGACAATGTCGAAAGAGACCTGGGAGTGTTAGATGTCAGAAATTGGAGAACAGTGGCCTTGGATAGACAGCAATTTCAGAAACTGACTGGGAGGGTTTTTGTCTGTTCTAGGCTGTAGTGCCGAAGAAGAAGAATAAGTACTTTCAGACTAGTTAGACCTTTTATTGATCACATTTAAACTAATGTTTTATGCATACTCTTGATAAAATAAAGCACTTTAATCTACTTACGGCTAAAAATATTGCTCCTCTGGGACGTTTTTTCTTAACTTCATCAAGCTATAACAAAAAATATATAATCAGTTTCGGAATAAGTTTATATAATTTATGGTTAAAAAATTAAAATCATTAGACTGCGAAAAGTGTATATAAAACTCTTTAAATATTTCAATTTAATAATTTTTTTTACAACTAGTTGAGCTATTTCAACATATGCACTCAGAGACCTGAAAGCTTTTTTTAATATGAATCACTCATACTATGTACTGATTTCAAAATACTGTACATAAACTTTACTACAACTCAAATATTTTTGTCTTAACTTTACATGTACAACTAATATAACTGTAAAATTAAAATAATCAATTTACCATTAAATTTCAATGTAATTACATTACTTAATTACTATTACATTATAAATAAATATTGTTATTTTTCATCTGTCTTAAAGCTTTTTGATCTCAATCAAGTACTAAAAGTTTTTGGTTTGAATACTGCGTATCATTCATGTTCATTTTATTACTTTTTTTACTAAACAAATCATATTAATTTTACTATACAATGAATAATAATTTTATTAGTGGGAGGTGAAAATAATAAATAACTTATGAAATGTCATTACAAAAAATCAAGGAAACAAGAATATTTGAGTAAGTAATAGGAACTAGGCCAAATTTTGAGAAATATTATTTTGAAATGAAATAATCTTTTAATAATCAATTTGTATAATACACTCTCTGTTAAGCAGTGTTTTTTCATTAGTTAACAGATTTTTTTTTATGAGGGCAGGAAACCTTCTACGACAGAATTTTGCAATACACCAGATTATTATTCATGTAGATCCAGTGACTGCGGAAGTACCTCAAGAGTGGGGGGGGGGCTCTCTCTTTCTCCCTGTATGTATATATATATATCCGTATTAATCGGGTCCGAATTATCTGAACCTCACAAAATGGTAATCAAGAATTTAAACTTGTAATTTTAATATCATGATTCCAATTGTTTTAAAATTGAAATAAAATTAATACAAGAAATTAATACCTGTAAATTAATCTATCATTTAACAATATATTTTTTCATTCTGCTTGACTGCTTTTTTTAAATTCTGTTTGCAGTGACATTTGAAATCAAGAATTTCTCATCAGTCAGCAATGGATGGTATTTTCAATATAAATGTAAACAGTAACAATCTCAAGCTCAATACCTGCTCTAGTTCCGGATGGAAAGTTTGCAACCGCTTACTACAACTTATTCTGAGAGGCGATATTTTCAAACCAATAGTTTTGTTTTCAATAAAAGAAGTAAATTAGGTAATTTCCGAGTTCAGATCTGCAGTATTTCACAAGATATTAATGTTATTAAGTAATTCTGGTCAGTTTGAAGTGAAAATTTGTTTTAGTTATTTATAGATATATCGTTAAAAAAGGTGACATGGTTGTAAGCTTTTGAATAATTCACTTTTTTGGCAGTCCTGATTTGGCCTCTTTCCATTTGTTTATTACTGTTTGTTCTTGCTGCAAACTGTGCACCCTCTTAGGTTAGTGTTAGCAGCTTTAGCATTGTAAATACAAGTATTGTTAGCATTGTAAACACAAGTAATAAGTAATCAAATACCACATTTGCAAGAGTCTCAAAACATAATGATCACATTGAGAGCCAGATGGCTTTAAAATACATCGGAAACAATATTCGGAAGTATAGGCGGTATGGAGATTGCAGCATTCCCTAGTGTAGAAAACACGATCCATAGGGACGTATATTTTCTTTGGGAGGGGATGAGTAAGGACCGCAGTTTTCAAGAAATGTTAAAGCTCGCTTGAAATAAAGACCTTTCTTTTCAGAATTCAGACACAAATAAATTATATATTTTTCTTTTTAATTATAAATTTGATAATACAAATGTTGAGTGAAAAATTGTAATCTTAAAAGGAGCTGTGTCTTCATTTATAAAATGTGAGAGGGATAAAGCCCCCTCTGCCACAGTCCCTGCATAGATCCTAAATGTAATCTAATCTTATTTAAATGCTGAATAATATTTTTAAAATAAACAAAAAATCACAATTTTAAATTAAGCTTTTACTAAGTACAAATTTGCATTTTTTGCTTAAGGAGACTCAATTAAAGAAACATTTCCAGATCTTGAGCTCAATTTAATCATAGTCAGGTTTCAGGTCAATAGTTTAAGAGTTAAAAATTTTTCCTATAAGAAACTAATAGAGAAAAATTAATGCAACAAGTCTTTTAGAACAGGGTGCATAGTCAAATTTTTCTACAAAAATAAGCACCTATCAAGTACTTTTTAAGAATTATATACATTAAGAAAATGCAAACTAATTTTCAAAGACTTTACATGATCATGATAAAACAACTAGTTTCTGACAAAGAACTCTTTTCTTGATTATATTAGCCACCATGATCGATAGATTTTTCGGTTTGATTTCAGAGGGTGGAAAATGAGCAATGAAATAGAGAATAGCTCGCAAAATGCAGCACAGTTGCACATGAGAGTGCTACATTCTCCCCGAACTTAGCTCAGTAGACGCACGTGCAGACTCGCAAGTATTTCATCAAACATGTATAATGATGGACCGATCGTTAGGCCGAAATCGATTGTGGTTAAATAAATTGTGAAAACGTTGAATAGAACAATGTGAAAAGCACGTTTTGCATAATATGTGGCGAAAATCAACACAGTAAAGAAAAAAAATCAGATTTTCAAAAAGGGAAAATTAAGCACTCTTTAAAAACACCTACTGAAAAAAAGCACCTTTAAGGGCTTTTAAAAAACAAAAAGCGGAAATAAGCACCTTTAAGCACATTTTAAAAACACTACGAACCATGTAGAAGAATAAGATGAAAAAGAAGAAGAAAGAAAAAGCAGCAGCGAAATTCAAAAACAGTAAACATTAAATTTATAAAAATAAACAAAAATCCCATGAGTGAAAATATCAAGAAGAAAATGGAATAATTACCATATAATATTCCAGAATTCCAGTTTCAGGTATGAGAATAAACCATCGGTACTGCCATCCTTTTACAACATTTGTATATTTGTAAAGTTGTCCCTCTAAGGGTCGGCTGTAAAGAATCATTTTTGGAAATGACTGCATGAGTTTATTGGTTTGCATTATACAACTTAAATACATATTATTTCTAAAGAGGGGTTTTGCTATACAAAAAAAAAAAAAAAAAATTTTTTTGTGCATTTAAAGTTATAAATCTTGAAGTTTAAACCCAGAAATATGAAATTTTAAACACTAGTTATTGTGTCATTAAAGAAATGGCTTCATAACTTATTGTCAAATTTTCTACAATAAAAAAAGATATTCAGACAGTGATAGGACCAGGGGTATGTCTCAAATTTTTGTGTTAAATTTAAAATAATTGTGAAGGGAGTTATTCAGGATGCGTAGCCAGTTTTTCAATCAAAAATAAGCACCTTTTAAGTACTTTTCAAGCATTCAAAAAATATTTTTAATCATTTTCCAAAAAAAATCATAATTAGGATCTGTGCAGTACTAAAAATTATTTTTTCTATCATTTAATGTACTTAATTTATATACATAAAATCAATAAAATTCAATAACATTTTCAAAAACTTTATATAATCATGATGATATAACTAGTTTCTGATAAATATTGCAGAGAAAATTGTGAAAATAATGAATTTTTTTGTAATTTAAAACAATCAATACGGCAAAGAAAAAAATATCTCTTTTTGAAAGAGAGAAAATTAAGCACTTTTTACAAACACCGAGTAAAAAAAGCACCTTTAAAGGCTTTTAAAAAACGTAAATCAAAAATAAGCACCTTGCACTTTTTAAAAATGCTACGCACTCTGTTATTTTATTAGTTAACAAATATTAAACTGTGAGGGAAATTACCAGAAATAGATGAATTTCGTGTGGAGGGGAGGAAGCTTCAAAGTCTATTACTGTAAAACTTCTATTAGGTGAATTTACAGTAGTACCTATTACTACAATTAATTATCTTACATTATCCAAACTGGAGTGTATTGAAAAACAAAGTAACATCTGGACCATAGTTGCTTAACTGTCAGATTGCGGACCACCGCTAGTAATATTTATATGAGAATTAACATAAATTTTATTTATATTTAATTAGATTGAGGTTCAAAATATTTTTCATAGAAAGAGTAGTTATGTAAGAGTAGTCAGAAATAAAATGTCCAAATGCCATAATTTAGGAAATATAAAAATTACACTAATAGTCCAAATTGCCAACCTAATTGGTTCTCGATAAAACACTGATATATTTTTATTTTATTAGTTTTTCAATTGAACTGGGATGAAAAATGTTGCTTTAGTCTATATAATGTTTATGGCACTCAACAAAAAAACACCAACATATATTACAATAATGTTGACAACATTAAAAAAGACTACTTCCCAGAAATTATGATTTGCAAATTTTACACAGCGATATGAAAAACCTTAGGAATGACGTTATGTTTATGGATTGAACTGATGACATATTTGTATTCATGAATAATAGTCAATCATCATTGTGATTATGAGAAATTGAATTGTAGGTAATTTAAAGTTACATATAAACTTCTCGGGTATGTTTAGATACAAATGATTCTCTAAACTTAGTAAGTCAGATACTGAATATTCTACTATACCTTATTATTTGAAGAAAACATTTCAGATATATAATTGATAAAATTGTTTAACAAAATACTTAAGTATTAATTATAAAAATATAAACACAAATAAAATGTTATCAGATGACAATGACGGAAAAGTAGAAAAAAAAGTAATAAATTTGTTTCACTTATTTTATTTTAATAGTAACTGACAGCATTAAAAAACAATTTACTTTGATTTACTACATTTTACTCTTGCAGGCAAGTAACTTAAACTATATCATAAAAGTAGCTTAGAATTTAAATAAAAGTTTGTAAAATTAAAATTTATTAATTTAATAAAAAAAAATTGGTTTTGTTTTAAATAATTAACATATTTGTAGAACTTACCTCATTTTATTTCTTTCTTGAGCATCTAGTTCCTGCAAAAATTAAATAAAGCAAATGTTACTAACTTCCAATGACTTTATAGATAAGATAGGTATCATCAGATATTAATTAAATTGGGTCTACAAATTAACTATCATCTTTCATAACTTAAGATTTAACAATATCTTCTTAAATTTAATTAACAGTTAAAAAATAAAGCAATAAACTAAATTAAACAATAAACAAAATATTGATAGCTTAGCTTTCTTTAATAGTCTCTAAGAAAACAAATGAAATGGAGTGGTCTCAATGAGCTAAATAACTCTAATTTTACATAATTGAGTAAAGGACTTTTTTGTGAGATATAGTCAAATGACTAGGGTTCACACCAGTAATAAAAATTTTGTGGTCCAATAGAATCACCTAGGTAGTCATTTAGTGGTCTAAAAACTTGGTACACAAAATTGAGAAAAAATTTTTTTCTTCAAAACTTATAATTACATAATTTATGTTATGCTACCACATCAAAAATTATTAATTGCCATATATAACAGTTAAAAACCAAGTAAGTTATTTACCCTATAATGATAGCATTTAATGTAATTAAGTGAAAAAAAAAAAGCTAAATTAGTATTCGTAAACAGATTCAACATAGAGATTAAAAAGCTGAGACCAAATAAATGACGAAAACAGAGAAAGTAAGAAGTAACAAAATATTGTATTAAAAATAAATTATACAAAATTATAAAATTTTAAATTAAGTCATTTCTAAAAGATCAAAAATTATTTTATTGATGAAAAATTACGCTATCAGTACATGAATGTAAAGCATAGCAAAATATGTAAATTTGAAATTTAAAGATTTAATTAAAAAATTTTTGTACCAGACACTTCTAGTTAAATTAATTTGAATGAAACACATTAGAATTCCATACCAATTAAATTGAACAATAAAATTAGTATAGCAATTTTTTCAATGCATGGAATTTAATGCCAAAAACTATTGGTTCTATTTTGTAAATTTCACACATATTTCAAGGCAACATATTTGTAGCCCATGCTTGTGATTTTAGATACATTTGTAGAACATTTGGCGACAATTGTTGCCTTACTCGCATAAACCCTACAAATGACAAAAAATAAATAAATAATAGAATAAAAAAATAAATAAAAAGGTAAAAATACACAATAATTTTTCATTTTAGTTATCATTCCAATTTTAAAAAGAGAAATCAAGATAACATAAGACCTTTATTATTTAATCTTTGATTTGTGTAATATAATGTGCTGTTACAAAAACGCAAATTATTTTATTATTTTTAAGATCATACAAATTGGAAAATGATTCTAACATTGATCGTATCATTGTTACAAAATAAAATGTATATCATTGCTTAGTTGTTACAAATAAAATTTTGTAATTAAAGTAAAATTTTACCATTAAACTATTTACTACAAAGATTTAATACTTTGGTATGTAATTTAGTTGTACAGTACTGTTATATTGATAATAATGTAGAAGAAAATTTATACAATTATTTTTTGAACTATTTTAAAATAAATTTTTAATTAAAAACAGTAGTTATTTATTACTTATACAGATAAATATCCACTTTTACCAGATTTATTTAATGTCTTATAAAACAAATTCAGTCTAAATTGAGGATGTTACACTTTTTTATTATAGCTGAAACATTTGTTTAAGTTATATTACACCAAAAAACTAGTTTAATCTAAAAATAAAAAAAATGTCAACTGTGGCTGAACAAAATCTTAAAAATTTAATAGATGATTATAAATAAATGCAATAAAAAAACTGCTGCAAAAAAGGAAGAATATATGATTGCTGACTGAAATTTACGTTTACAAATTCTTATCTAATTTCAGATTATATTCAAGAATTACCATGTTAATGAAAGTAGAGGTAGACTGATATTAAATAATCGTTTCTAATAAAATGTTTGACAGAATAATTTTTACTTCAAGCATGGTGAATGTAACTTGATTTTATCTGCTTGCACCTAAGTAAGAAAATAAGAGGAAGAAATTTAACATCAAAGTTGAAGAAAATAACAAGGAAAATATCGGCGGGTGATTGAAGAAACCGATAAGGAGATAATAGGAAGACCCTGGAGTTCCTGATTATACAGGTAAACAACATTTGATTTAATTGAAAAGGAAAAACGTAAAAGATATCAATGACAAACGATCGAAGATAAAAAATGTAAACAACCCATCCCAGTTATGCAATGAAAATTTCACTGATACAGAAACAAGGTAATTGACTTAATTATGTTGATCGTTAAAGAATAAACATTTTTATTTTATTCTTCTTTTACTTGAGCTTTTTTCATTGCTGTCATAAGAGTAACTTTTTCATCTTCAGTCAATTCAGGAACATCGTTAATTAATAAATTAATACTTTCGTCTGCTTTTGACGAATTCGCCATAATACGTGACTACATTGTTGCCATTTTTCAAATTAAAACTTGAAATACAATGTTAAAATAAGGGATTACCAGTTCAGGCATTGCTTACGGCGTTTAAAAGAATAACTAGAATTCTAATAGATAAGCTTTGCGGAAATAAGCTATCAAAAACGTATCGAAACATTTTATTTTGAGCTTAATTTCAAATTTTGAAACAGTGGTTCTTTCTTTATTATTCAACATCGAACTGCATGCATGTTATACTAATCAAGAGATGCAGTTTATATATTTTTCAACAGTTTAAACCTAGTAAAGATTTCCTGAGCTGTTTGTATAGCTGGTAAGTATTGAGGATATTTCCTTTTGTTTTTCAAGATTCATAAATTCACCCACCTTTTTTAGAGATGTTATTTATTGAAGTAAACGTCAAAACAGTTTAGTTATTTAACTGCTTTAGTGAATATTCTTAGATATTATCAAAAAAATTTTTTTTCTTGCAGTAAAAATTTGGAATTTTTAAAGGTTAAGCAAAATAAAGTTAAAAGCTAAGCAAGAAGAGAAAAGATATATAAGAAAGAATAATTAAGATTTTCTGTATATATTTGTACGGAAAGAAATTGGTTTAGTTAATTTTTTTTTTAGGTTATTTGAAAATATCGCAAAAAGAGGTGTTATTTGCAGATATAATTTCTTTCTTCATTAATGCATTAATTTTCTCGGTAAGTACAGATGTTAAATGAAATAAAGAGGTTTGGTTTAAAACATTCCCACACTAAACAGAACAAAATTGAAATAATCAGAAGTTTCGAATGAAAAGATAATATGGAGAAATATGCTGCTATTAAAAATTTTGTTTTATAGTTATTGGTCTTTAACAAATACATACTAAATTCAAATAAGGCAAATACTTAAATGAATAGGCATAGATGAACGCCTCACTTGCTTAATCAATTAACGCCATAAAACAAAAGGTTGATAAAAAGTCTGATAAATACAGACTCTTGAAATAAAACACCCAGAGAATTTCATTAGTGGCTAACAATTTTTTCTCATTTAGTGATATAAATACTTATTATTAGAGATATTTGTTTTGAATAGTCAGGAGCCAATCAAGTGCTCTGAAATTAATTTTAGAAATAAAAAAAATGGTGTCAGTTGATTTGCCAAGTGAAAAAGAAATTATATTCATGCAACAAAAGTGTTTGCTATGAAATTTAAAAAAAAAAAAAATTATTTGTGATGTTGTCCAAAGGGAAGAAAAGCTTTATTTTTAAAATGTGTGAATTTAAAAAAATATTTCAGTCTCATTTGACTGTAATCCGAACTCATACACGTACGTACACAAAAAAAATAAAAGTTGTGATTTATGCAAACAGAATTCTCACTAACATATCGTAACAACAGATATACATTATTCTAAGAAAAAAAATAGCACTATTTGTAAAAAAATTTTTTTATATTAAAGAGCAATTCATGCTGCATAGTGAACGGTAAAAATTACAGCAGTCAAAATCATTCAGTTAGGCAAAGAATTTTGATTTATAACCGTCGTTGAACAGCCGACTCAATTTTGTGTTTAAAACTATTAATGTTCAACTCCGTAGCCTTGTAATTTCGAACCCAGTTCAGAAGACAAGGGAACTCCTGGATCAAGTATTGGGAGACACTTGTCTTCCAGGACTTTTTTGATGGAACTAACCCGTATTTGCGTTGCATGAAGAGGAAAACCACACACGGTTAGCCTGATGGCAAGGGGAGTCTAACTCATGATCTGTCTACTACTGAGGATATTTTGCGCCAGTACTATGGTTGGTGCGGAATTCGTATCGACCTGCCATTGATAGGATTCAAACATAGTCAGTGGCGGATCTACTTAAGGGCTTNTAATTAAACAAATTATAACTCAAATAAATAACGACGACACAAAGTATTATTGAAAACAATGGGTGATATTTTGAATTAAAAAAAGTATCTAATATTAAAAAAAAAACTATAAAGTTGGCAACCCTGAGATCAATCAGCTCATGAATGTGCACGTCTATCGAACGGAACGGAGAATTCCCCGTCGCTTGTTTTGGTCAGTAGATTTTTTCGCGTCTATAACGACCGACGTAATTTTTCCCCCGCACTTCTGTTCTCGTCGTCAAAGTGACAAACTTGTTTAGTTTACTAATAAATGATAACTTAAAAGTTATAAAGACCTGACCTTTCTCTTATTTTACTTATAATTGAAAGTACATAATCAGTATAAGAAAATATTTCCTGCTCTTAGTTGGTAAGTAAAAAGAATTATAAATTATGTTTTTCTTGTTTTTTATGTATTTTTTCAATACTAAACGAACTTTTTAATCGATTTTTAATGATAATTTGTGAATTACTGCACTCATTACAAAGTATTAAAATGTGACGTGAAGAACAATATTACATCAATAATCTCGTTCCCTGTTTATTACCAGAAAATTATCCAGTTCATTGCTTATTTTCAGAAAAAGATCAAAGTCTTATTTTACAATATGTGTGGTAGAAAATATAAAAGTGGAGCTGAGAAACGGAAATTACAACTAGATGGAGAAAAAGAAAGAAAGAAATGTGCAAAAATTGAAACTTCTTTTAAATTAGAACATAAAAACGAGAATGAAATAGCTACAAATTTATTAACAAGCGAAAAGGAAGGGATCTTATCCAGAGCAAAAAATCGCAACACCAAGAAAAAAATACAAGTGATGAAAATGTGCAAAGTCTTGACTACCAGCAACCCTCTGATCCCACAGAAAATTATATTGGTGTTCAGCAANAGATAAAATATTTTAAGCACAGCCCTTTTTTTTCTTTACTTTCATTTCCTAAACAGAATTTTCTTCCTTCAGCTCTAAAAACTAGAAAATAGTTTTTTCTACGTAATATTTACTGCAATATGCATGGCATGAAAAATTTAGTACAAATTTGTCCAAGTAGCATATCAATTAAAAAATGGTTTAGCTATTCAAGATTAGTAGTGTAAAATAACTGAAGTCCTATCAGGTAATGCTCTAGGCCCGTGTTAAGGTCAACTTTGAAAATTAGAGAATATATTAAGTCAAAAAGATCAAAAATCATTTTTTTTTCATCGATAGTTACTAAATCCTTTTTAATTGTGTAGATTTTAAGCTTAAAAATAAAATAATGAAACAAGATAAATAAAAAATAAGAATGATATGCAGTAATTTTTATTCAACAACAAAATGAATACATATATACATTCATATATGTGAGTTCAAATAAATCAATTACAAATTTGAAATGTAAAATAAAACAATTATAAAATTTACACAAATTTGGAAGAACTAACGATTATTAACAATCTTGATTAGTTGATAAAGATTAAAATATTCCACAAAATGAATTTTTACTAAAAATGAACATAATGATTGAAGAGCTTGCTGGAAGGTACTAAGTCGCATCCTACTGAATTTAGGAATATAAGCTGTAAAAAATAAACAGGAGACCTACAGAACTGTTTTTTTTCTTTTACCCTGAGAAAAACTGCATTAATTAAGAAAAAGAAAACACATAATGTCCTTTAGAAGGAATGCTTAACCTTTTTTTAATAGGTGGGCTGCAAGAAAGAATAATTAGGCTTTCAAGGCCCAAATTGAATTTTAAAATTTTATGTCAAACAATAATAGTTGAACTATTCTTTAGTTGAATAAGAACATTATCAAACAATCTAAGTATAGTAAATTGTATAAATTTAGAAAGCATACATCTATAAAATATTTAAGTAACACATAGTTTTGCCCACATTGCCTTTGTTAATGAAAATAAAATTACAGCAAACATTTAATTTTTATAAATTATTTCATTATTTATATTGCACATTATCTCCTTAAATACATACGTTTTAAATATATTTTAAGCAAAAAATTTTCTAAAAAAATTTTAAATATTTAAACAAAATAAATAAAATTCATAACATTTGAATCTTTTGACACATACTTTGGCATAAATGCATTTATGACTTACAATGTTATAATTTCTACATTGTATGCACATTTTTAAATATTGTAATTAGTTTGAGCTTGATTAGTACGTAAAATTTTTTTTTTAATGAGCTATGTAATTTTTATACAATATTTGGTTAGAAAGTGGAGGCTGATCATTGGCCAGTTGAATCACATTGGAAATGGAGAAGAGGATCATTGACCATTCAAGGAAACATATGATCCTAGTTCTTTAGTTTGTGCCTTTTTACTCTATACTCTAGCTATTAAACCAAAAATATAGACGTTTTTAGGATTTCACTTCCACAAAGCTATTCAAATGTTTTTTTTTTTAATTTTCAAAAAGAAAATATTTTTTAATGTACAGTTCATGAAATTTTTGTTAATGATATGACAATATAAATGCTGTCAAATAAATGATTTTCAATAAATAAATTGATTTTTTTTACAGTAAAAGCATCAGTTTTATTATTTTGAAGATACAGTTTTTAAAATTTAACGATTTCTACAAGATGGCCAACAATAAGTATTCAATAATCACACTTTAGAAAAAAACAAACAGATCAACATTGCCTAGCTTTCATATAAAAGTTTGATAAGGATTCAATATTTTTAGAACACTGAAAACACAACTATTGCACAAATAAAATTAATTAAAAAAAAGATATAGATCAAATAAGATCACAGAAAGATCAAATAAAATTAATTTAAAAAAAAAGAAATTTTTTGAACTTCCATTTAAGAAAAATACAACCTTTTGAAAAATGTGCATCATGGCCATGCAAATATTTCAACAATTCATGCATAAAAGTGTTATTGAAACATAAATGAAAATAATCCATAACACAAATTCATACTGAAAATCCTCGATAACAAAGCAATTTTTTAAAACATAATGTTTGAAAATGAAAATGATTAAAATGCATCTTTGATACTTTGCAATTGACGAATTGCTAAATCAACAGGAAGATCAAAATCTAAAATAGTGAGTCTGTCTAAGGACTTCAGAGCATCTTCAAATCCTAAAATAGCAGATTTTTATTTATTTTATATTAATACAATGTGATGTCATTGAAACTAAATCTAAGTCATAGAAAAATAATCATGTTAGATAATATTTTAAGAAGTTGCAAAAGACGCATAAGTAATTTCAATAAAATTTTAAAGGCAAAAAACTAAAATGAAATTAAGTTAGTAGGGCAATGAATATTATCATTAAAGTGCTAAGTATAAATTATTTGCGGAAATTAAAGAACGGAAGTAATCATAACTTCAAGTTCATTAACCAAATAGTAATAGATTTAAAAAAAAATATTTTACACTTAGAATCTTAGTAATTCACATGTTAGTTTTGTTTTTATTTATATTTCATGCAAAATTTTATGTTCATTTAATCTTATAGTAAACATGGATCAAATTCAAACAAAATAATAATTTCCCCCCCACTTATTTACAACTTAGAAACTTTTTAGAATGTCAGGAAATTACAGATAATAGTTTTATTACAGATATTTTAAGCATACATTATCAAATTTGAATTTTAACAGGTTCAGCAGAAGGAATTTTTCTGCATCAAACAAATCTGTTACGAATCAATGAAAAATTTCCTTCTGTCTTCTTCTATCCTATTTCAAACTAAAATTATGCAGCTGAAGACAAGAGCTAATTTACTGCCACAGTAATAGTTAGTTAATATCAAGATGTAAAAAAAATCTTAGGCACCCTGCTGCAAAATTTTCCATTTTGCCACACAACATTTCATACATATGATCTTGACTACAATCATATTGTGGTTTATACCTTCCTACATTCTATTTGGTACACAGAAAGTCTTTTGGGATCATATCTTTCAAGTGAGCTCCCTGATATTCCATATAATTAAAAAACATTAAGTACTATATTTGTGTTTGATTTTTGTGTTCATACCATGCTTAATTTAAATAAAACATAACCTTTATATTATTTTTTTTTTATAAAAATTTAAATGTTTAGATTTTAATTTTATGCAATAATTTTTGTTTAAATAACATTTAATCAATTATTGAAATTATGAGAAAAAAGTTCTAAAGTGGACACTTAAATTTTTTTTTTCAGAATTGCAGAAAATATGTTTGTGGGCAATTCAAATATTACTTATAAGCTCCTAACAGGTGGTTCGTGATTTGCTTATTTATGTTGACAAGAAGGAGGGAGAAAGGTAAGAGTAATGCTCATGTAAGACATTATAATCCTTGTATTTTCAAAATGGTCTTAAAAAGCAAACCAAAAAATTTAACAAAAAACTGAAATGTTGAAAAATTTCAAGTGTAGAATAAAAGTTGAATTCGGGAAAAATAAAAAAAAATTCTTCGAAGAGTTTCAAAGGTCAAAATTAAAAAACACAAATTTTAAGAAAAAAAAATATTCGAATAAAAAATTTAAAAAATGAATTGAAAACATAAACGTTGGTCTATGCACAGTTACATCCTTTTATTTGAATTTTATCCTGAAACTAGATTACTACTGTAAAAGTCAAAGATAAAGCAAGGGGTGTCACAACTTTCTTACATGTGTAAAAAGGATGGGAGGTGGTTAGTGATTTGCTTACTTTTGCTGACAATGGTGGACAGGGAGAAGAAAACCATCAAGAATATGGCATTATATTATGGCTAACACAATTTTTAAAAAATTTTTTTATACAAATTTTTTTTAAAGTTTCATCCCCTGAAAAAACTTCTGCAACTACCCTTTGTCATGTACCAAGATGATTACCATTATGATCAGGATTCGCAGTACTGACAGCATTAAATATTACCAATACTATAAAATAAAACTATCAGTACTTAAATTCGAAGCTAGCAAAACTTAACAAATTGTATAATTTTCAAAATTTGTCATCGCTTTAGTTTTATTTACAATATAATAAATACATAAATTTTTCGAATTTACAATTACTAATTAAGCATGAATGAAATAACTATATAAAAATTCAACAGATAATACTAACCAGTTTTGGCTGCATAACTCCATGACTGATAAAAGTTTTCTAATAAAGTTCTTGTCTTATAGATAAGTTTGAGCCACGATACCAAGCGTTTATCACTGTGAAGAAATAAATTAACAACATTGAGAAATATAACAATGAATTTGAGATAAGAGAACATTAAAGAACAATTTAAAAAAATTAAGATTAATAAAGAATAAATATCAAGTTAAAAACACTGAGAAACATACAAAAATACTTAAGTTACGAGAGCAAGTTGGAGACTAACCTCCGTGGTGGCAAGAGCGATAGTATCAGTTGACAGAGTGTAACTATTGTTACAACAAGTTATCTGTAATTCCTTAATTTTCCAGTTATCCTACATAGAGTATTGAACTGCCAGACATTTGCAGATTTTAATATAACAAAATGTGCTATGGTATAGCAAAATGAATTTTCGATTTGTCTAGCACCGAAGGGAGTGCAGTAGCGTATTTTCAAGAGAATGGAATCATTTCTTTTAAGAATGGCCACAATGTGGTATTGTATATCAAAAGTGATAAGCAATGGCGGTGTAATGTAAAGGGATGGATTTAAACGAGTAGCGTTTTGAAAGGACACATGGTTGGAGGGCTCAAAGGTTCCATTTCGGACTGGCCTCCGGTTTATTTACTGCTGGTTGTGCAAGAATTAATATCAATTGAATGTGGAGAAAGCAAGAAATTGCTTTTCATCATGATGACGCCAAAGGATTTGCGTGTTATCGTGAGAGCTGACAGTTCAATGGGATAATCCCAAAGTATTGTTACATCAAAGCAATGGAATTAAACTTACTTAAGACCAGCACAGACAAAAGCTTTGAAATGAGAGTCTGGTGAACGTTTAAGAGGTGTATGGGTTGAAATAATGTTTCCAATGGCACTGAGAAGAGACTGTAAAATAAATTAAATATATATATATTTCTAACAACTCATAAAATTCAAGCAATAAAACATACACAATTCATAAAATTCCTATATTAAAATGCATGCAATTAATAAAATTTAAAACTTAAAGCAAGAACATAAACTCTTCTAGCAGCTCATTTCATAATTTGTTGAATTTGAGATGGAGTGATAAGGTAGATTATGTGATAGATTTTATAGTGTGGAAATTGCCAACTCACTAAATTTCAATAATGATTATTAGTTCACAGAAATAAAAAACATCAAAATTAAAATGTAAGTTGAATGTTAAAATTTCACAAAAAAAATTAATTAGCCACTAATATAGTTTAGAACAAATTGCAACATAAAACTGCAATTGGAAAGTGAATGTAATGTTAAAAGAGAGAAACATAAAATTACAATAATTAATGTAAACAAATTAACATACTTGCTTAGGAGTTGTGGCCACACCTCCTACTATTTCTAAGTTAAAGCTTTGGCATAATTTTCTAGCTGGTGATGCATTATATTGGTAACCATTCTAGAAAAAAATAATAATATTGATATTATAATAATAGAACTAATATTTAATGCTGATCTGAAAGCAATACTGATCATTTATTGCAATAATGTACGTAAATAGAGAAATAAAAACAAGTTTATTTTGTAAGAATCAGCTTGCACATCACAAATGTAAAATGTTTTTTTGTTTTTTTTTTACAGCTGATATAAATTCAAATTATCAAAGTTAGATTTGATAAAAAATTTTAATATTCAATACTAATTTGTAAACAATATTATTCATCAATTGTAATAACATAAGCAAATAAATACTACCAAAATAATTTTATATGAAGCAACTTATATACCAAAAGTGTTTAATTTATTTATATAATTGATTTTAAAATAAATTAATTTATAAACAGCACAAAAAAAGAATTTTGTTTAAAAATATTTACAATTTAAACAGATATTTAGGTGATTATTTACATGATAGTAAATAAATAAAAAAAACAACCTAAGTTTGTTTATATTATAGTTAGGGTTCACACCAGCAATGGAAATTTAGTGGTTAAATAGGACCAACTGAGTATTCATTTAGTGCTCCAAGAAATTAATGTGGTAGGGGTATAAGCAATAAGCAGAGAGCTCGCCGCACTTAACTATACTCAATACTCAATGTGGTAGGGTAACTAGAGAAAAAAAATATTGAACTTTACAATTGCATAATTCCTGTTATGGTACTCATCAAAGATTATTATTTGCCATTTATAACACCCTAAAACTAATTAGGTTCATTACCCCATATTAATTAAAGATCAAAATTAATTAAAATTAAGTGAAAAAGAGTTAATAATATTAGTAAATAGATTCAGTTTGCAGGTTAAAATGCTGCGACTATATAAATAAATAAAAGAGGGAAACAGAGAAAGTAAAAAATAATAAAATATTATATTAAAAATGATCTAAAAATTCTAAATAAAGTAAATTTATGAAAAAGCAAAAATTATGTTTTATTGATTAACACTTACAATGTCAATACATAAATGCAAAGCACAGCACAACATGTAAATTTGAAATTTCAACATTTAAATTTTTTTTGAAGTAGGCACTTTCAGTTATTCTGTTTGAAAAATATTAAAACTGAAACCTAACCTACGCATAGAATAAAATTAGCAAAAAAATGTTTTTTTCTCCCTCAAATGCATGGATTTTAATGCAGAAAGTTTTTTTTTGTAACGATTTTGTAATTTCTAAACATATTTCAAGGCAACAATTTTGCTGCCCATGCCTATTATTTTAGCGATATTGGTAGAGCATTTAGTGACCAATTGTCGCGATGTCGCCATACTGGCGTGAACCCTAATTATAGTTGAGTTGAATGACCTAAAACCCAGGTTTACTTGAATAAATCCTTTACAGGGGAAATTATATAGCAATAATGCTTAAAAGGAAATGAAACAAAAAATTTTTAATATCAAATTAAACTTTTCAATGGATTTTGAGGGGTTGAATACAAATATTTTTATAAGAGGCTACTTGAATGGTTACTAAGCAGCCTTCTCCCCTCCCCCCCAAAAAAGAATGCTACTTATCCTTACAGTTTAATTTGGTTATTGTAACTAATAAGTCTTACTGGCACATTTGGGAATATGAAAAACTTTTAAAACAATGGGATTTTTCATAATCGCCAGAAACTTGTATTTGTTTGTTCTTATTAATTTCTTAATAATTTTTCTGTCCAGATAATTTTTGAAATTCCAGTTTTGAAACTAAAAACATTTTATAATGAAAATTTTATAATTACTTATAAGAAAAGGGAGAGGAAAGAACATAAAATACTTTGTTTATTAAATAATTGATTATTATTAATAAGAAGAATAAATTAACTTTTGATTGATACAAATTTGAACATAATAGTTTAAAATTACCTTTAACTCATAATATTTTAGAATAAGGTCCCAAGCATGCATCATCTTTGGTACTGATGGCTGGACGGCAAAACATCCAAATGGAACTATACTAGTACTTTGCCCTATCTGTAAAAACATAAACAGGACACAATTGAACATGATAATAATTTATATTTTTAAAAATTAACAAAATTAGTAAAGAAAAAATAGTATGAATAAACATCCAAGCAAATAAAGATTACATGAAGTTTAGCTAATTATTTTAAATGAGTAAAATATAATAAATTGAATTAAAAATTGTATTAATAAGTTGTATTGTTGACTAAAAGAAAACATTTTTCTGATGATTTTTAGACAATTCAAAACCTTAATAAGTTCTCATTATTTTCTTTTATTACGAGAGAGATATGTGTATAAAAAATTGAATGTTATTGAAATATGGATAATTTGTGGAAGATCAAAGTTTTAAAAGGGACAATTTTCTTTTTTTATCCTTCTGTTATTATTTTTTAAAATTCAGTAGCTTTGCTACTTTTTAAATAATATTCAGTTACAAAATATAAAAGAATGAATAATTATTTAGAACTTAATTTATTGGATGTTTAATATGAAAGTGATATTACTGTTAATAATGCTATTAATATACACATATAATTATATTATATATAATTATATTATATATACTATTAATATACATAATTTAATAAACAATTACTATTAACAACTTTATTAATAAATAACTTTAATAAATTTTTATTTCAAAACATAGAAGATTTCTTTAGAAGAAGAATAAAAGTTTTATTAAAAAGAAAACAAAAAACTGTCAGTGAGTACAAAATCTGTAACAATTTTTTAAAATTATTTACAGGCATAAGTCCATGTTGCATTAAATCTCTTATTGCAGAAGCAAGGTCTTTTCTCACAGCTGTGGTCAGCTTTTCATTGCATTGAACAACTGGAGTCTGAAAAACATAAATATCACTTTCGTACTTATATAATTCAGGTTTCATATGAAAATTTATAATAACATATAAAAAGATAGTGAAACTTTTTTAATACAGTAAAATCTAGCTAATCCATACTGTTTAGATTACTGAAATTTGGATTGTCAGAATTGTATTGACAATCAATTTAATTCAATCAATCAATTCAAATAAATCACTTAAGTCAATTGTTTTGACAATCAATTCAAATATCAATTACAATTGAATTCCAACTATAATTGATATTTCACACGACTTTTATCACACAAATAAAAGTACAGTTTTGACCTCCAATTGTGTTTAATGTGGCAAAGTAATGAACTAATATAATTTATTTAATTCATTCAACAAATGTAATGTTGAAAAAATTAAATTTTTTGCATTTGGGATTTTAAAAAAATGGAAAAGAGTGACCCAAATTTAATTTTCAATGCATAAGTTAAAAATAGATTAGAATTTCTGATTTGGTAAAAACAAGACACGCTGCCAAGGTTTCAAAAAAGAGAATAAAAATTATGGGAGGAATAAAGGCTATTTTAAAAATAATAAAAATTTAGTTAATGATGATAATAAAATAGAAATTAAAGAGAGGATAAATCGCTAATAGTTGCTATTTTGGATTGAGGAACCACCTGAAATTAAACCTTATTTCCGTTAAAACTACTATTAATTTATTTTAATTAATCCTGTATTACTTTATGGCAGCAAATTATGGCCTTTAAATACGAAAAAAGAAATGGAATTTCTGAATTCCACATAATTATGAATGATACGGGAAATTTAAGCAACCAAACATAATTTAAGTTATTAAATTCGACAGAATAAGATGGCAATCTGTAAAAAAGATGATAGTGATCCAGTTCAGAAGCTGACTTTTGGAATGTTTACTGGCAACTGAAAGAGGAAAAGACTAAACACCAGAAGGATTGATTCTGTGGAAAAAGATCTTAAGACCAAAGGCATCAATAGATGAAAAAATCTAGCTTCTGATTGAGCTAGTTGAAAACTAATTGCTGAAATAGCTCTGGCATGTACTACAGGGTTCCCACGGTCTTCAAGAATTTTAAAAAGTGGTAACGAAAATAAAACAAATTTTGATATTTAAATTTTTTTGTAGCTACTACTAATAATTGTCTTCTAAAAGAAGTATATATGCATGAAAATTCAAGCACTTCAGGATAAAATTGTATATTAAAATAAAAAAATATATTGCAGCATAACCCTGAATTTACTACCATTTTAAAATTTTTTCAAGGACCGTGGGAACACTGTACCAGGCTGTCACGTTGATGAAAGAATAAGAAAAATTAAGACAACAGTACCAAACATTTCAGATGGCATGTATTTCTGCCTTATTATTTACATTGTATTGTATTTTTAAAATTACACTAAAAATAAAAGAACTTATAAAAAATGTTATGTAAAGTAAGAACATTATGGAATGAATGGCAACTAGTAAAAACTTGAGAATCGACCACAAATTTTTAGACTTTACATTTTCGTATCTTCCTCACTAGTTTTTATTTTTTTAAAAAAATAGCTGTAAATAAGTGAACTTTTGAAAAATAAATAAATAAATAAAAAAGAAATAAGCTTCACTAGATACATTTTAGAAAAATATACTTTGTTTGAACTGATATTACTTACATCTTCAGAGTCACTTGTGTAATCACTGTCCTCACAAGGAGGTTCACGTTCTAAGACAGAATTTTCAACGTCACTCACAGCAACCTCTAATTTCGCTCTCAAATCCCTGAAAATAATTCCAAAAGGTAATTTTTTTTCTAAGTCTTTAAAAATGAAAACTTTCGAACCAGTGCCTGTTATGCATCCAAGACAGAAATATTAAAAAAAAAAAAAAAAAAAAAAAACGAATGAAGGAAAAAAAATTAAGCTAATTAAAAATTATGGTATCTTAAAAAGGAATTAGGAAATTCTGCTATGGTTAGAGCTATTACTTTTGATTTTTATCAATGACTACCATGCTTCTATTCTTTTTTAAAAAAAGTGAATAAATTTTCTGCTTTTAAGTCTTCCTCAGTTCCAATAAAGATTTTTTTAAAAAAAGCTTGTCAAATATGATAAAGTTGCTGCAAAAAATATATTCTTTAACTAAATTATAAAAATCTTTTCCTTTCAAGGAAAAAAATACTTATTTAACCCAAAGCAAATAATTACTCAGATTGAAAAGTAAATGATGGTATTATTCTATTTTTATCATTATTAAGTAGAGATGAATAAGTTTTTTACTTTTTATTTCACTTTAAATGTTGAAACACATCAGTTTCATTTTAATCTAATGCTTTCCTTTCTTGTATGAAAAACATAGATCGACTTTAGTTTCATAGTTCAAATTTTGTTTCATTTGTTTAGCTTCTTTATGCAAAATTAGCACTGTAGTTTTATTATGTAAAATAATTTAAAATATAACATGATAAATATGATTATATGATAAATATGTTTAGATGATAGCATATGATATGATTAATAATATGATTAATTTGAATACAATAAATAATAAAACTACATATCAAAAAAATATAACCTATTTATAAAAATTACTTTAATAATTTAAAAAATTTCATTAATGTAATAAAACATTATAAATTACTTAAAATGTATGCATTTATAAGGTTATCATATGATAGAGATTATTTTAGAAGAGCTCTTGAATTAAAATTCTAAAGAAAAAGAAATAAATTTATTTTCCATATTTTTCTGGCATTCTTCAATGGAGGTTGATTGTTTATATTTTTTAAATGTAAATTTCCTTAGCATTTAAACAGTATAAATTATATTCAATAAACCAATAACTACTAATCTCCTCATAATATAAAATCTCGAAAAGTCACAAAATTAATAAAATAATATTAAATTTCACATGAACAATAACCTATTTATTTAAATGGAAAAAAAACAACTTATTTTAACTTCCAGTATTTATTAAAAAGTACAACTAAAATAAAGATTATTTCTACAAATTGCTCAAAGACAAATTCGGCTTACCAAATAATTGAATAGATCTGCCTATAGAAATGGATCATTTTTTAAATATAATTTTTCTTGACTTGGTCTAAAATTAATAATTAAATCTTTTAAATTATTATTAAATTTCTTCAAGTGGAATTTAAGAATTAATAAGTAGGGCTAGTATTATTAATTTATGTCATGAAAAAAAAAATAGAATTAACTCTAGGGTAAGAGCATATATCCCATTGTAATTAATGAACACAATCTTTTTTTTAAAAAATAAAGTGCAGCAATCATTCTGTACTCGTATTAAGCATCAAAGTGGAAAAAAGAATAAGAAAACTACATTTAATGTTCATTTTTCCAATTGTTAGTATATATCAAACAGATGCGCCACATCTGGTTTTGACAGAACAATAGAAGAGAGCAATATGATGATCAATGAGTTTCAGATAGATTTAAGCAACCCACTACATCTAATAATTTATGCATTAGAAACTCTTTATTTCTTGAAGGTAAAAAAAAAAAAAAAAAAAAAAAAAAAAAAAAAAATTTGCAAAAAAAAAAAGAAAAAAAAAAGAAAGAAATAAAATGAAAAAATTAACATTTAATAATAACTAAATTTTTTTAAAATCTTTTTCCCTATGTGAAAAAAGCAAAAGAATAAAACAAAACATTTTTACTTACTAGATAATAATTAACTTTAAAATATAGAAACCAAATAATATCATAAAATAAAATATACGATTTATATTTAAAAGAAATTTTTCATGAATAACACATGGAATTAAATTTATGCCCACTGAAATATTAATTTAAAGAGCCAAATAAAAAATATTTCTAAGCTTTTTCTTAAAAATATTCATACATTTAAAAAAATAAAAATATTACAAAACTAAAACTACTTCTTAAAAGTAATTTTAACTCCTAAGCATAATTTATAGTGAACAATAACTATAAAATGCTAAATAATAATAATTTAAAATAAATATACTAAGTTAAAGGGAATTTTGAATAATATTTAAAGCATTTACATTTTTTGAATTATATGAAGTTAGATACAGCCGTGCAATTAAAAAAACAATGTAAATGCTTCACGATTGCTTCCGAGAAAAGTGGCTAGACAACTATTTACATTCTATAGTTAATGCTATGAACGAAGAAATAGAATTTCAAAAAACTGATAAAGCAACATTTATTTTTGAAATATTTTTTTCTGCAATATGACATACAAAGATGCCACATATATAAAAATCTTAATTTTGAATGTTTTGTACCAATGTAAGTCAAGATCAGTTAACAAGAACAAAGAAAGTTATTCACCCCCAATGATTTCCTTTATCAGATTTTTTCAAGGTATTTTTCTGAAAGTTATTCCTTCCACAACCAAATTGAGTAATGGTGAACACTTGCAACAAAGTAAGTACTCTCCTCATGATGTGAGCAACAGTTTTCTCTTCTTTCTGTAAAGAACATAATTTAGTAAAACATATGTATTATCTAGACCATAAGTAATATGTACAAATTTATTTTAAAAATAAAACTAATAATTTTTGTTTTACAAGTTTATTTCGACTCTTTTAACCATCATCAAAGGTCAGAAAAACTGCGTTTGCAATACTGCAATTTTAGACAATTTGGGAGGTGAAAAATAATATGTGCAATTGTAATGCCCATACATACTTCAAAGCTTTTAGATTTTCTTAAATTCATAAATTTAAAAATTCCTAATCGCTTTGAAAATAAAATTTTTTTTATTTCAATTTTATAAAGAGCGAATACGAATGTTTCTATTCTCTATAAATACAATGGCTATTTATTTTTATTTTAATGCAAGCGTTAAAATAATTATTATTCAATGTCACGACAACTGAACATCAAAATCTATTTTTGATCTTTCTTTTTTTTAACCACATTAAACGTTAGCCTATTTGTTATCAGATTTACTCAAGTTTCTTTAGAATTTTTTGGCCTTAAATCTTCAGCCAAATTATTTCAACATTAACATGAGATTTTGTGATGTTGGCTGAATTGACTTTACTTTTGTGTCCTTTTACGATGACGCACCTATTATGGATCTCTCCTGTATTACAAAACATTAATTAGATATTACGTTTAATCCGGACTGGATTAGGCAGGTTGTGGGGGATTATCTCCCATGGCCTGTCCTTATTCATAGTATGAAAAATTTATGATTTTACTTGAAATGTCAATTAGATAACTAAACTAAACTCAGTGGCATGACAGCCCAAGGCCTACTGTGCCATCTCAGTTTTTTTGACCTCGGGCTCTAGGGTGCAAGAGCAGATGTTCTGGTTAGGTGGTCAGTCACACGCAGAACCCTCAGTGTTTAGTTCCCAAGCATGCTTGGTACTCATTTATCGACCCAATAAAGGGATGAAAGGCAGCAATTAGATAACATTCTTTTTATTTTGCACTTCAAGATCTGCAACAAAATAAAAGTTTTAAAGTGGGAATGATCCTGTTTTCTTCATCTTCTTCAATCAGACAGCTTCCAGTAATTTTTTAATTTCTGCTATAGTCAACAATAATCCATCTTCTTCAATATATACACATCTTCCTTTACAGCAATATATTTTTCAAAACGCAAAAGAGCATTATTTTGAATAATTTTTTAATGTCAAGCTGTTAACTATATTGTTATAAGTAAAAGTTTTTTATAATTTCTAAAGTATTCCTTACAAATCACAAATTTGAAGAGGCAATTTCAGGTAAATAAGTTAGATATGGTAATAACACTAGTATGAGCAAGATATTTTTGCAGCTACAAGTGACTTGTTTATGTTTTTAGGCTAATTTTTATATTTATAAACTGTCTGAAATGTAATGACAAATATCAAATTTTCAATGTTATTAGCAAGATTCATTATTACTCTTTATGACCTTTATAGACTATATTATGATCATTAATTTTTAACTATATCCTTTACATTATTTGCATAAATTAAAACATTTGACTCATGCTTTTAAAACTCTACTCAAAATTTTTTTTATGAAAAATAAAATGATATTTAATATTAGTTAACATAATAAACAAAAAAAAATTTATGATTTAAAAAACAAGTAATATTTATTCTGTTAAGTTTTTGAATCAAAATAAAAAATTTCAATAAAATAGATGATTTAGTATAACCAATTCTGGCACAGATTTAATACCTGTTTAAGTTCAAACATATAAGGTGAATTCTAGCACCAATTGCAACATTGAGAACTTAGTGAGAAAATGCCAAAATCATTGGCATTAGATTTTTAAATTAGTTAACAGTTTAAAAGTTAACAAATGTTTAACAAACAATTTTTTAAATTTGTTTTTATCACATTAATAAAGCCCGGGTAAATTTTTCATTTTTTTTCCAGACAGTTTAAAGGTGAATAACATTGACTAAAATTATATCCACATCATTTAACTAAAGTTTAATGTTTATCAATTTAGATTAAGAGGTTCTTAAACTGAGTTCGCAAACTCTTGGGAATTTGGTCACCAGTTTTGTGGTTTTGTAAAACAATTCTGACAATTATCTAAATTTATTTGGATATGATTTCCTTATTAGAATTATAATGTAATGCATGTGAAACTACAATAAAACGAAACTGAACTAACAAAGTTTTAGTTACTTCTCAGAACAGATTACCCTGCACTTGGAAATAAAGAACTTCCAACATTTCGTTATATTTATATGAACATGCTTTTCTGGTACTGTTATTTATGAAATCATAGTCTAGAAACAAACTCAATATAGAAGCGGATTTTATAGAAGCTTTCATTCCAAGAAAACAACTGTAACATTTTAGTAAATAAAGAAAATATTAAAAAATGATCTCAATTTTTAATATTTGAAATTCTCAGAAAATATTAAAAAATGATCGCTTTTGGAACTTTTAAATTCTTTGAACTATAGCTTTTTATTAAATTCATTATGTTTTTATAAATGTTCATCCCAATAAATGCTAAAAAAACAGCAATCCATTTTCACCAGCATTTATTTTAATACTTATGAGATCATTCAGCCAAAATTAAGTTCAAAAGTGATGTACGGTAGAGTTTAGGTCTATATAAATTAAAAAAAAAGTTTTTTAAAAGGGGTTTTATTATTAAACTTTGCAAATCATGAAATAAGAGAAATACTTACTTGAGCTCGCATGGAACTTTTACCTGAGGAAAATTTTCCACTTCTAGAGCTTGAACCAGAATGATTATGAGAAGTCTGAAATTTAAGAGAAAAAATTTAATACTTTTATATACAACAAGTGCAACTTTTCTTTTAAAGCAAAGGTTTGACAGGAGCAAATTGAAAAGGATATTATATAAAAGGATATTAAAGGTTTGACAGGAGCAAATTAAAGGAAAATTTTTGCATATTAAACGTTTTTGAAAAGCCGGATTACGTATGTAAATTCTGTTACAAAAAAGTAAATAATCACTAGCCTTATCAGCAACAAGTGTTTTGTATCTGTCTCAGAACCTTATGTATCTTGAATGTGGCATGCTGCTATCAAATTTCTTTCAAAATGTTAGGCTAAAGTTTAGATTCAATAGGGTTATTTGTTTTCTATACTGTTTGAAAGTTTAACTCTGAAAGTAATATGTTCTACAAAATTATTTTGCATTAATGTGTTTGAGCTTTTCTAAATAAAAACAAAGTAAATTCGATGGATTTTATTGCTGCGAAAGTTAGAATTTGCTATACCACGCAAATTTTAAATAATATTACAGGTTAACTGATAAAACAGTGTCATAAACTAAGCCTGAAGCCACGAAAAAGAGGAAAGATCATTGTTTTCATTATAATTTACAGTGATAAAAATCCATTAAAATGCTTGAAATGGGACTCTTGTAGAATAGATTATAATTTCCAATGTGCTTAGTAAAAGACAAACTTACATAGAATAAAGAATCAGTAGTAATTAGAGCCTCAGTTTTATAAGCAAAAACTTAAATATTATTAAATAGCATTTAATTCACTAATGACAGAAAAATAAACTAGATTATTTGGTTATCAGGGAACAAACCTTTAGCGATGCTCTCCTGTAGCTGGAGATTTAGACCTTTTTGTAGTAATAATGAAACATTAAATGGCTCTTTTAACTTTTGGAGCATCCAACTTGTATACATTATTTTCTTTTCGCATCACTTTTTAATTGTAAATTTTTTTCCATTTAGGTATACCAACAATTATTTTTAAACAATAATCAGAATTTAATATGTAATCAAAATTATAAATTTACCGTTACTGAAAAAAAAGAGATTTTCCTTCAAAATTGCAAAACAGTCACAAAAATTAAAAGTCATTCCCAAACTGAAATAAAAAATTGTATCAGAATGGTCATTAAAATAAATTATTAATAAAAATTTTGGAAATGTGAAATTTTCGATGTTTTTAAATTGCCATTTAATAGCTAAAAACTAAAGTTCATTGAAATGATAGAAAATCTGCAGAAAATGGTGTTTCTGTTTCAAAATAAAATACACAATTGATTTATAATGCTAAAATCAAATTACTTTTCGATGAACTGGGCAGTCACACGTGCAACGCGGTTTGCCATCTGATTCGGCTTCACCTAGTAAGATAAAATTAAAAAGTCATTAAATTTAATTAGTTAATAAATTTTAATTAGGTAATAAATGAGACAAACATTACAGAACATACAGTAGGGCTTTAGCCATAGCTTTAAAGGTTAGTATATTGAGTAAGTTAGTTTATAAATAAAGAAATAATCAAGATATTAAATATCAATGCAAAATGGAAGTTTAAGGCCACTCCTATTACTGAACTTTAAAACTCAAAATTTTTGTGTTTCCTATACATAGGCTTACATCTACTAATAATTTTTTCCGAATTTCAACGAGCTGCAGTCAGTAGCATAACTTAGAATCCTGCAAGCAAAATTTCTGATTTAGTTATCGATAATTTGCTATAGTGCACAAGGAAAAACTTTAATTTGTATACTACAAACTAAGTTTGATTACAAAAGAAAAACAAAATCAGAACAGAATCAAAGAAAAAAAAAAGTAAATTACTAGATTATATTGGAAGTCAAGGGGCCTGCATTTGACTAGAAAAAGACCTGAAGAGTTTTTGTGATTTAATTTAAAATTTGATGATTTAATTTAAAATTTGTTGGATGAAATCTGTCAATCTAGTATAAATGGATATTGATAAATTATCGTTATTTCCTTTCTCCCCCTCGTTTTTATCTAATGCACATCTGCAGTATTTCTACAATCAGGTGTCAATCTGCTCAGTAAAATAAGGAGAAAGCAAGAAAGCGAAAAGTAATAATGGTTCTTTATAGAGCTGTCTATAATAAGTATAGAAATAATCAAGTAGTTTTTGAGGTGGTCAGTATCAGTGGTGTGCCAAAAGAGAAGACAGAAAGCTCCAGGCATCCAATAGACCAGTGGTGCGCAAACTAGGGGTCGCCAAAAGTTTTTTGGGGGTCGCCAAATTTTTATGAAATGCATTAACCCTGCATGCTGCATACTATACAGTGTACATATAAAGAGTGAAGCGCCGTCACTCACTGTTTAATTGCAATTTCATGATGTCCACTCTTTCTTTGACCGTAATGCGTAATGTATTCCCTATCTGGCTATCCGTGGAAAAACAATATCCCGTTTTATGCAAGAATGCCATCAGAGTGTTAATACAATTTGCATCAATGTATTTATGTGAAACTGGATTTAGCAAACTAGTTTCAATAAAAACTAAATACCGCTCGCGTTTAAACCCTGAAGATGGTACGCGAATTGCAATTAGTAACATACATCCAAACATCGATGAGATAATTAGAAACTTGCAGCCACATACATCTCATTAAAGGGCAATTACTGATTTTTGAGTTTTACAAAAAGTATTTTCTTAAAATTATAAATAAAAATTAATATGAGTTAAATATGATGATGTTTTTATTCGATGAAACGAAAGAAATGCGAGAAATATACATCATATTTGTGAACATTTATCTCTAGGGGTCGCCGAAAATTTTCTCTCTACAAAAGGGGTCGCAGTCGAAAAAAGTTTGCGCACCACTG